CGAACAAACTCGATACAATACGTTATTTGGCAGGTATGTGATAGGCAAGGAGGTGAGTACCAGTATGGTATTTTGAATGTACAGAATTTTATTCAAGAGTATATGCTAAGTGAAATTAAGAAGTCCGTCGTGCAGCAGCAGACAGCTCGTATTGGGTGGGGGAGAGCCCTCCTTAACTGGAAGAAATGTGACATAGAACACAGAAGAGATGGAGCATGCAGGCACTGCAGCAGCTGGACTAGGATTGTGCCCAGAACCGGGATTAGGAGGAATATGGAGAGACTAAATGCCTCGTCTGGTCCGACAGTACCTCTGCTTGCTGTGGGGCAGCCATTTCTGTGGCAGAGTTGCCACAGGCTCTCCTGAGGTCACTTAAGTTACCCTGGAAGTCCGCTGTCAGTCGGGTCTGGTCCAAGTGAGCAGTTCTGCCTCCCGTTCAGTCCCCCGCAGACACATCGTGTCAGTGTGGCAGTGCTGGTACTTTCCCCTGCCACGCAGAAAAAATTTCAGGCTGATTTGAGATTGTCTTCTCAATATATATGTAACCAGTGAACTCTTCATTGTACTGGAGCTGGATAAAAAGAGAGTAACGCATTGTATTTGGAAGTGAGAACAAGTTCAAAGGGAAACATAATGAGCCTTATTCTGACACTAATTGAAACGGCAGCTTAACAAATCTGAAAGGCAACTCCTCAGGCTTCAGAGGTGCTGCCTAGATATCTATCCTAGTGTTGTGTCAGATGTGGGGACTGTTAGTTCACTGGCATTTTGTTCCATGGGAAATCATTTTCATTGTGTCTACTGCAAGACCTGGTACAGCCACCTCTGCTGTAATGCAGCTTCCAAGAGATGGGTGACAACAGTAGAAGTTCCTGTAGCCTGCTGCGCTCTGTATTACCCGGCGTAGTTATTCAGATGTGTCCCTGACAGCATAGTTCCTCTGGCTGCCGCACTCGACCTCCCGTCTCGCCACCTGGGCAGCGCTACTGTGCGGGATACTGCACCGAGGACAAGTCACTGCCTTCTAAAATTACTCTGTCACACCTGCAGCTATTCAGGAGACTCTGCTCTAGAGCTGTTATCCTTCTGCTTGTAGTTAATTTCCTGTATGCAGAGGGTGATACAACTTAGCATTCAGCTAATTATTGCCTTTCTCTTTTTAACAGCTTCGGTATTCACTTGCTTAGCAATAGCACTGGGATTTTACAGGTTCTGGAAATAGATCTACATGGAACGACTGCATCAAATACAGATGGAGAAAAGGCCACCCAGGCAGCATCAATTTGATGATCTTGTTTGCCCTGTAAACAACATTGGTACCTTTTTGGTTTGATATTCTTACTGTGCGCTAAAAACGTTTTCTGAAATTGTAACACTAAAGATCGAAACAGTTGGGGCAAAGTAGACAAATACTAGTATTTCACTGTTCCCTACTGAGTACTGTATTTCAAAGGACTTATGCTAAATCAGAAAGTGTTTCCTAATGGATTTTAGAAATAATTTTGTTTTCTTTTGGAACATTCTCAGTGGAACATTCTCACTCTCAGCTCCCCTTGAAATGGAAATATTAAACATTTTATATGTCCTTGAAATGGGAATACTATTCCCAATATGGGAATACTAATGCTGGATTCCAACAGATCTACTCTGATCCAAGTAAATTAATCTTAAATATAGGATCTGGATTTTTGCCTTCAGTCTGTTCCTCTTTTCTGATAGATTGAAGCCTGGCCCTTTGGATTTTTTATTTGTATATAAACACACACTCCAAGGCCTGTACTAAAGAATCGTTGTTTTTCTTGGAAACTGGCTTACATAAATTCAAAATCTCATGTAGAACTAAAATATCTCCATAGATTTATTTTTCTTGTTAGTATCTCTTGCAATTTCCATAACCCCAGAGGTCAACAGAATGGGAGAACTTCTCTGTCTTTGTCTTTCCAAGGGGAAACGCCCCCACTCTCAGCAGCTGTGTACAGCCCTGGGGCAGATAAGTGCTCTTAACTCCTCCCTTCAGGCAGTGCAGAGTATTTCCTATAAACCCTTGTGTATTTTCTGGGCGTAGGATCTGGCTTGTAACACGGAGATATTCAGCATCTCAGTGGTGTCAGTGTGGTGGTGGTCATCCTCCTCCCACCTCCACGCTCCTCCAGACCGCTCTGTAATCCTGTGGGACACGCTGTCACCTCTAACTTCTGGTGACAACCCCTCCACCTTCTGCAGGGACTTCACCACTCTTGTTGCAGAGGTGGGACGGAGCAGGCGGGTGCCTTGCAAAACTGAAGCAGTTACACCTTGCTGAGTACAAATGCATATGCTTGGTTTGATTCTTTTAAAAAAATAATTTTGTAAAAATCTTCCTGGATTTAACTTTTAAGTAAGAGTAGGCCCTTTATGGGCTAAAGACTATGTAGTATGATTAGTGGCAAATTTTTTTATTGCAGTTTTATTCTGTTTACAGTTGAACTTGCTGGTATCTTGCCAATTCTTATATTCTGTGCATTAAATTATTTATCATCTTCATTTATGAGAATAAAATTAATTTCTTATATTTGCTGACTATCTGAGAGACTTGAATACAGATTACCAGAATGTAAAACTGTGCCTTTTACAACAGGCGCAGTGCTGTTACACTGGGAGCTGCTTTTTCTGTTGTGTTTGTCAGATGGGCGCGGGGGGTGGCAGCAAGGGTCTCAGCAGGTGGCCAGCAGCCCCTTGTGTCT